TAGGGGGAATTTCATTGTAAAGATCCTATTAATGAAGGTGTAGTGTGCTATTTCAATTGTTCTCGCCTTATAATCGCATGAGATAAGGTACAATCCTGAAGATATTTGCTGAAAATTTTCAAGAGCAAAAGCTGTAATCTATGAGCTTCATAAAAAACATAAATCGGTGGTAAGACCTATTGGCAGAAATTATTCAACAAGCTTGCTTAGAGTTTGTTTGATCGTAATAATTTAAAAGGGTGCTACTACAGTATTATAAAACTCTAATTTGCATATTTACAATGTTAAATTATCTTTGTCAGGTAATTCAGCGTCAGCAAGATAGGTTTATATCTAGGCTAGGTTATGGAAATCTTATGAAATATTGAAATCACATCACTACTGAAACTTATTTGCATTTTATAAATTTTACAATATCATTTACGCTATTCAGCGTCGGTAAGATGAGAGGGTAATGAAATCTCACAAAATATAAAAAATTGAATGACTAAGAAACTGATTTGCAATATTAAAAGTTTAAATTATCGTCGGTTTCTACAGAGGCTATGTAAAAAAATACATTAAAATCATTTGACTACAAAAGAAAAACTGCTTTGCATGTAAAAAAAATGTACATTATCGTTATTAGCTTATTTTACGTCAGCAATATAAGATCTAATCCTATCCGGAAATCCCAGAAAAATTTAAATAACATTATAACAAAAACATCAGATTTCTTTTATTGGTTACTAGAAGTAGCATGAGGTTTTAATTATGTATGCATGTATGTATGTATGTAGGGGTGTATAGATGTATGTATGTATGTGCGTACGTATGTATGTGTGTGTGTATGGGTGTATGCATGTGTGTATGTATATGTCTTTTGTTTTATGTCGGTTATTTTCATTCATTTCACATAAAAATAACCCCAAGACAAGAAAACAATGCAGTTATCCCTAATATTGCCTGGATTCTACGCCCACCACAGGTTTTCGCACTTGAACTGTGCCATTCCTCGTTCCCCATCAAAATTTAAATGATACCCCACACCTCAGGATACGTATCCTAGATGCATGACTAACTGAAAACTATGACTTTTAATAGTTCGACTTATCATTCCTAAGGTTCTTCAGCGTCGGCAAGATGGGAGCGTCGGATTCTACAGAGGCTATGGTAATTACCGTCGTGGATTTGGTAATCTTGACGGTGAATTTTGGCTTGGAAACCAGAATATGCACCGAATAACTGAACAAGACGAGTACGAGCTATTAGTTGAATTGTGGGATTTCAATGAGACTAAAGTGGATGCGCGTTACGACGGTTTTTACATTGGTGATCACCATACAAAGTTTAGATTACAACTGGGCAAATTCATCGGTGGAGATGCAGGTAATCCTAATTATGATGAGCTTGCCTACCTATTGTTCACTGTCTATCAATATTCATTTAGTTGTCACAGGGAACAGTGTTCATTGTTCCCTGTCATATACAATTATATTTATTTGTTCAAACAATAATTACTAGGATGTATTCACATATTACATAATGTGTGTCCTGAAGTAGGAACGTTAATAATATTTTTGGTGACTCGCGTAGCCCTCTGTAACCAAACTATGTATCTTGGGTATAGGGAAATTATCCTACTCCACCAAGGTCCTAGTGATACGTCCACGCCCTAACTGGACTGTGCATCCCGATGCAGAAACGTTCCAAGGTCCAACCAGGGAACAGTGAATTCACTGTTCCCTGGTCCAACTGACTCGCATTCCTTCTCTGAACTATATCTTGGGGTAGGGACATTACGTTTCTCCGCTTAAGGTCTCATTAACCCTCATGAGGACTGGCAACTCGAGTCTGGGTTGAATACCCGTCAATACAACTAGAACATTATTCATTTCTTAATGTAATTCCAAGAGTTTCTGAACGATAATTTGATAGGTCTATTTACTTTCAGATGCCGTGGTTCTGATTTCAAACTCCAATTTATATTTTTATAATGAAATTTACTTTTATATGGCATCTAACGTAATCTATGCTCTTTATTGCTATTAGATTTAATTTAAATATAATTCAATTATTAAGAATAAAACAACTTTCCAATCTCACTTTCATGTGAATAATTCTTGAAAATGGGTCTATGCAGGATGTTATTTACACATTTCCATCCTCAGTACATCATAACAAAGCAGATAATAGATGGTCCCAAATGATTCACCAAATAGATTATCCCATCTAATACTATTAACAGCACATAGTTAAAAAGGTAATTTGTAAGTGATATTACCTCATTGATAGTTAAAGAGCCATAATTTTTGGATTTTAGATTATATCGCCGTTATAGAAATGTGAAGAAAATGGCATTATTTCCGCAACCATAATCTATTCATCTGCTAAACGCAATATAGACGGATCGAAAGTTACGGTACTAAAACATCTGTCGATTGTCATATTACAACGTTATGTTGTCAATATTTTAAAGGACGTCTGGTTGTTTGTTTTTTTTTTCTGTTTTTTTTTTTCTTGCAGGAGATTCATTGACATATCATAGTGGTATTCCGTTCAGTACCAAGGACCGCGATAATGATATGCTGGATTATCACTGTGCTCTTAACTACGGTGGTGGCTGGTGGTATCTAGGCTGCCATTACTCCAACCTTAATGGGCTCTATCTGAATGGTGAAACAGAGCTCTTTGGTAGAGGAGTCGTTTGGTATGATTTCCGAGGACATAACTATTCACTCAAAAAGACAGAGATGAAGATCAGAATCAAAGATTAGGATTGGCTGATTCAAGAGTTTATATGTTATACAGGGTAATTAATTTTCGGGGCTTCCTCCTCATTCTTCAGTAATATGCAATCACAGAGTTATAGAAATGCTTGCGTGTCAAGAAAATATGTCATGGAATAGTTTGTGTGTTTTCTTTTTGCCTTGAAAATGGCCGCAGCTCACACCAAAGACTTAGAACAGAAGTTGCTCACACCAAAGAGCGCCGCGGCCATGCTAAACTTGGTGTGTATTTAAATCGGCCATTTCCGAGGCGAATATACTCTCGTAAAGAGTACTTTGCGGGATATAATGATGATAATAATAGTAATACTAATAATAATAATAATAATAATAATAATAATAATAATAATAATAATAATAATAATAATAATAATAATAAATAACATTATTTCCATTTTTCATATTTTTATTTGATGTATACATAAGAGGTTTAATACCGGAATGGAGCTGATTTCGCAGATCTATAGGCCTACTATATGGCAGACTGGAAACCAAAGATTTAAGATGTATTTGCTGCAAGGAACTCATAAATGTTCATGTTTTAGCACACCTATTATCCGTATAATTGGAATTGGTTAATCATTGATGTTAGAAACATTCCACTTAATAAATCTAATGTTAAGTATTACTTTTGCAAGCATTTCTTTTCATTAACTATTTTTTGGCCTATGTAAAATTTGCATAAGCCTATGTTTGCTCCTGAATACTGCTATGCAGTACATTATTTTGATGTAGTTGTTTTCGTGTATAGGAAAGCACCTCAAGAGTATTATAGTAGAGTAAGTTTATTTTTAAGTTAGCTTTGGGCCTGTTGATTTTTTGTTTTAGTTTTGAAAACTGCTAACATTTTTTGTCTAAATATAATAAATGAAATGAAATAAAATATGTTCATGTGTTTTTTTTTTATCACCAGTTATGGTCAATCATCATCATTATTAGGCCAAAAAATTGTGCACAGCACTGACCGGTAGTTTTATAAAAGTTCCTAACCTTCGATCATTTCGATAGTTTAAATGGTAACCACAGCGGAAGTATATTAATTATTATTATTATTATTATTATTATTATTATTATTATTATTATTATTATTATTATTGTTATAATTATTATTATTATTATTATTATTATTATTATTATTATTATTATTATTATTATTATTATTATAACTAAAAATACTGGTGGAGATTTTTTGCTTGTTAGTTCTGAAAATAATAAATCTCATTCAAACACTATCGCCAGAGACGCGAAATATTGTATAAATGTTGGCCTACCATACCAATAAGTTATCGACGTTGATAGTTGCACAGGCCATACTATTTTAGCATTGCAATGTTTGTATTTGCATCCCTAGTATAATAATTTTTTTATTTTATTTATTTGAATAACCTTGATATTCAACTTCCCTTCAATTAGTTAATAGACTTGTCTGAGTTGTTCCCTCTTGATAGACAGACTATATGTGTCCGCTCAAAAAGAGTGTTACGAGACTGGAATCGAATACCCAAGGAAATTGCATCAATAGGCCTACATGACAAACAAAAGTCTGCTATAATCGATCATCTAAAATACATAGTACCGTACAGAAGCTACAGCGCCACCACCCCTACTCGCTTTGCCCCTTTTAGGGATGTTGAGGAGATTTCGATCCAACTCGGCCACAGTCAACTCGGGCACATGTTAACTCGGCCACATTAATAATAACACTATATATATATCACGGATGATGTGTCAAAGAAAGCGAGAAGTGCGCGTCAACTTCTAAGAGACAAGTGTCTCCAGAACAAGAAAAGCAGAGAATATGCAGAATTCACTTTCATTCCATATAGCTTGCCACCAAGTATAAGATACAAAACGAAGTTTGGGAAGTAGGCCTAAGTCTTTTACTCCAGACCTTTGAATATACAGGATGGAGCCGACTATTAATTTGGCGCACAAGTAAATACATACACACTCCACATTATTTAAATGTTAGTGGAAATAAGAAACAATTCGCTTGGAAATCAAATCACTCTCCTCCAATAAGGTGTAGACTTGATTATTTCCTTGTATCCAGGACCTTCGGCCATATATTAACGTAAAATCTATTTAAATATCACCAGGCTTTAAAAGCGATCACTCTCTTGTCTCCCTGTCGATTCAGAGCTCCAACCTCCCCCGGGACCGGGTCTCTGGAAAATGAACGTATACAGTATTTAAAAAATGAAAGTTATATCCAATCGATTAAAACGGTCATAGACCGAAACGGAATGCAATTCTGCAAATTTTAACCCAAATTTAACATAGGAGATGATAAAATGTAAAGTACGGGAGAAGTCAATTTATTTTGCAAAAGAATATAACAAACAACAGAAACAGAAATTAACCCAACTTAATTCAGAATTGAAGGAACTTACAAACCAAAATACAAATGAAATTGAGATTAATAGTGAAATTACGGCCAAACAAAAATAAATAAATGATATTTATGATCGCAAAGCAAAAAGCTCTATGATTCGATCACGTGCCAGATGGATAGAATCTGGTGAATAAGGCATTAAGTATATTTTAATTTAGATCGAAGAAATTACAATAAAAAGAACATAACAAAACTTAAAATGTAGGGTAAAGAAGTAACAGATCCAAAAGAAATCTTAAATGAGGAGAAACTTTTTTTCATGAACAACTTTATACTGAAAGTGATAATAATAGTGATTTGGATATAATTGGATTTATGAATACAGTCCAGAATGATAAAATCCAACCAAATCTCTCAGAGAAATTCGAATAGAAGTAGGTACAGCTCAAGGAAATACTGTACTCTCTCATGACTCAAGTTACTGCATCACCATTTTTATAGTTTTAATACAACCAATTTCTTCTAATTTCAAATACATTTTCCCCTGATAAGATAGTATAATACATACGGTACTCCAAGTCTCGAAATGCACGCCATCGTATCGGGATTTAATATTTCGACATTAATTATGTAATCATCAGGAATGATGATTATTGGCTAGTATATGGCGACGTACTGAGTATTCGGTACGGTACGTTAACACATCAGGTAGGGTAAATAATCACTCCTATTATATTTCCTGAGGCAAACTCACATCTTAATTGCATTTGTAGTAACTTCAATCTGGCTAGATAATCTCGAGGTCGTGTGTTTGATTCCCACACGAACCATTTTTCGAAACATTTTTCTGTTGGCTAGTAATTGGGGAAATCTAATTTGAATATTTTTTAACCTATTTTTTAACATGATTTTTAAAAATAAATCGGACTTAAAACAATATTCATTTATAATAATTATTTTGAATATTTAATAAGAACATTTCATTTCTCTAGGCAAACTCATATCTTAATAGCATTTGTTGTTGTTTGTCATCTCGCTAGATAACCAGGAGGTCGTGGTTTCGATCCCACATTCTTTTTTTTTTTAATTTTATTAATAGCTAGTATTTGGGGACGTACTTAGAATTCGGTACGATTACACGGCAGGTAGGGCAAATAATCACTCCTATATTTCCTGACGTCGCAAACTCGCATCTTAATTTTTAGTGGTTTTCATCTGGCTAGATAACCTGGAGGTCGTGGGTTCGATTCCCACCTCAACCTTCTATTTTTTTTTTCTATTATTGACTAGTATATGGGGACGTACTGAGTATTCGGTACGTTAGCACAATCAGGTATTGGAGTGGATTGGATTTATTCGGTGTAAACACCAAGGATAGCCCACGAAAATCTAGAAGACTTATTTCCAGTGGGGTCCTTCTGGTGGTGATTAGAAAGTACACCGAGAGACAATCCCCTACTCTTTTCCGAAGAATGTACTGAGTTCTTTAACGTGCACGTGGGCCATAAATGCACACGGGACCAACGGCTTAAACGTCTCATCCGAAAGACGGTGCGCTATGTAACTTGAATTTCAGCCCTCTAGCTGAAACACAAGGAGAGGCAGCGATGGGAATTGAACAGTGTTTATCACCAGATTTAGCCGACTGAGCTAAGCTGCTCTCTCAAATCAAATCAAATAATCTCTCCTATGTTATTTACTGAGGCAAACTCACATCTTAATAGCATTTATAGTAATTTCCATCTGGATAGATAATCTGGAGGTCGTGTGTTCAATTCCCACACAAACCATTTTTTTTTAAAATTTTTCTATTGGCTACTAATTGGGGATATCTGATTTGAATATTTTTATAATCTATTTTTTACCATGAATTTTTAAAAATAAATCGGACTTAAAACAATATTCATTCATCATAATTATTTTGAATATTTAATAAGATTATAAAATATTTATTAATAACATTTATTTTGAATATTGAAGTTTTTCTTTACTGTTGACACCATCACCATGCATAATATTGTAATTTCCATCTGGCTAGATAAGCTGGAGGTCGTGTGTTCGATTCCCACACGAACCATTAAAAAAAAAAAATTCCTATGGGCTAGTAATTAGGGATATCTAGTTTGAATATTTCCAATTCCTGATGACGACATAATTAATGTCGAAATATTGAATCCCGACACGACATGGCCGGCGGAACCGGGGGGGGGCCGTGGGGGCCCGGGCCCCCCCACTTTTTGGCAAAAAAATATATAATGCCTGGAGATTTTTGTATGATCGGAAATCAAGAAAAGAAGGAGGGAAGAAGGAGGAGAAGGAGGGGAAAGAGAATGTTTATCCAGTACCCGACCGAGTTACATTTTCTCTCAATTCACATTGGTGGATCTGGAGGAGGGGGGTCATGGGTCCTGACTTCTCCCTTAGGCAACAAAAAAAGGGGAAAAAGAAAAGAATTCTAGACCTACCTTTTCAGGACCCGTGAGCTGATTTTTTTTTTTTTTTTTTTTTTTTTTTTTTTTTTTTTTTTTTGTTACGATAAGAAAATCAGAATTTTGAAGAACATAAAAGTCATTAAAACACACTTTAAAATTTTCCCGGGGGAGAATCCCCGGACCACCCTTTCTTTTTGGGATTTATCGATTCAAGGAAAAGAATATGCATGCAACTACTCATTTATTTATGTATGCATACACACATAAAATAAAAAATGAGAAAAATTTACCTGACTGTTTTAAAGAGAGGAAAACCTTGAATTTTGAAGAACTTTAAAAGTCATTAAAAGACATTTAAGAAGTCTGGAAAGCTCATTTCCCGCCACCTAGAAATCGAAATTTTCTCGGGGGAACCCGGACCCCCTTTATCTTTGGAGTTCATTGATTAATTGAATCCTTTTCAAGAGGGGGGGGGGGAACCTTGGATTTTGAAGAATTTGGAAGTCATTAAAAGACACCTCAGAAGTCGAGAAAGCTCATTTCCCGCCACCTAGGAATCAAAATTTTCCCGGGGAAGAACCACAGGACCCCCCACCCCTTTCTTGGGATTTATCGATTCATGGAAAAAAATCGTATGCAACTACTCAATTTTTTTGTGTATATATACACACATAAGGCCTATGTACTGTAATAACAATGGGAAAAATTTACTTGACCGTTTTCAAGAGGGGGAACCTTGAATTTTAAAGAACCTAAATTAAAGTCGCTAAAAGATACTTCAGAAGTTGGGAAAGTTAATTTCCCACCATTTAGAAATCAACATTTTCCGGGAAGAACCTGAACCTCCCTTTTCTCTTTGGGTTCATTGATTCATTATAATAATTTTCAAGAGAGGAAAACCTTGAATTTTGAAGAACTTAAAAGTAATTAAAAGACACCTCAGAAGTCGGGAAAACTCATTTCCCGCCTTCTAGGAATCAAAATTTTCTCAGGGGAGAACCTCCAGACCCCTCTTCCTTTTTGGGTTTCATCGATTCATGGAAAATTCGTATGCAACTACTCATATTTTTTAAATTTTTATGTATGTAGACACGCATAAAGCCTATTCACTGTAATAACAATGGGAAAATTACCTGACCGTTTTCAAGAGGGGAAAACCTCGAATTTTGAAGAATTTAATGTAATTAAAAGACACCTCAGAAGTCGGGAAAACTCATTTCACGCCTTCTAGGAATCAAAATTTTCCCGGGGGAGAGCCCGGACCCCCTTTCTTTTTGGGATTTATCGATTCATGGAAAAAATCGTATGCAACTACTCATTTTTTTGCTGTGTATGTATACACATATAACAGGTCTATTTACTGTAATGAGAAAGTTTACCTTACCGTTTTCAAGAGGGGGAAAACCTTGAATTTTGAAGAACAAAGTCATTAGACACCTAGCTCAAAGGCGAGAAAGGTCATTTCCCGGCATCTAGAAATCAACATTTTCCCGGGGAAGGAATGTTGACCCCACTACCTAGATTTGATTCCAGATCTGCATGATTCATATTCTCATTTATCTTATAAGTGGGCCCCCTCACTTTGAAAAACGTTCCGCCGGCCCTGCACGATGGCGTGCATTTCGATACTTGGAGTAAGTATTACACTACCTTATCTGAGAATAGGCCTAATCAGTGGACCTTTTGGTTTTTCCCCTGAATTTGTGATATTTAATCGTTATCACGCATAGACTTGTGTTAAATTCGTGACAAAATTTAGGATCACGAATGTATTTCTGCAAAATGCGTGTTTCATCGAAAACCACTTCAAAATGCGGAACCGTCCCGCACGATGCGAGACGGTTGGTAAATATGTTATGGTATTTTAATTAATTTTTTAACGTAAAATTTTACAGGGCCTATCTAAATTTGTAAAATACAGTACTATAAGTTACAGTTTAACTACCGAACGTTTTACATATTTGTGTTCGCAGCTAGATTGCAGACAGTATCATCCTAATCCAATCGCGAATATTGTGTGAAATCTGGATTCATGCCTACATGAAATTGATTGAAAGCTTAAAAAAAAATTTTTTTTTAAACAAAATAATAAATTCGGAATTATAGCAGAGACAAAGTTAATAACAATGTATGAATACGGAACACAAGCGTACACACTGCCATCGCATGTGTTGTACCTAAAAATATCCAGTCGTCTATGTTCATCTGGCCTACATTCCTAAAGGCGGCGTACAAAGAGCGTGTCTGCTTTAATCTGAGTACCATGGGAACCCATTTGTAATGATTTCTTATCATTTTTTTAAAAATAGTAATTAGTTCCAAGCAAATAGTACAGGTAATTGGCATAGGAAGGGAGTGAATTTTTTCGGCTTTTATATAGAAAGAAGCCCGAAAAGACCATTAACATGTGTGTATTTATAAATAATATTGAAATTATACTTTATTATCCATTTATTTGTGTATTTTATCAAAATATAAATAAACAACAAATACAAACCTTTGTCACATTGTTCACCTCACCTCATTACTTTATTTATCATTGTCATATTGAAGAAAACGGCTGCAAAAATGCAATTTAGGCCTACAATTTATTTTTTTATACACGGCACGGTAACTGTGATTTGTGGCCGAGTTGACATGTGACTGAGTTGACATGTGTCCGAGTTGACTTGTGGCCGAGTTGACTTGTGGCCGAGTTGACTTGTGGCCGAGTTGACCGTGATCGAGTTTACTGTGGCCGAGTTGAATTGTGGCCGAGCTGACCTGTGGCCAAATTGACTTGTGGCCGAGTTGACTGTGGCCGAGTTGACTTATGGTCGAGTTCACCTGCTTCCGTTGAGGAGTACCCTTTGACAATTATAGGACAATAAACATTAGTTGTCTATATTGTGATTATAGCTTACTTCAAAGCATAAAATCATAGAAAACCGCGCCTAAATAACGTCTCGGATTCGAAACCTACCGGTCTGAAAAAAATGTAAACACAAAGTCCCGATCGTCCGAAGTTATATCAGGGAGATGTAAAAAAATATTTTTCACATCTCCCTAGTTATATTATCCATATTTCAGATTAATTGTTGGAAAAATGATTAATTTTACAGACTTTTTCACTGGACCACGTGTCTTTTACTGGACCAAAATGGTGTTTAGGCCTATTTCCGCATTCCGTAGCCGTGGCTCAGCCCGATTTTGCTGTTTTATATGAAACGCCAAAAGAGCAACATTCAACGTACATTTCTGCGGTTTTATATGGATCGCCAAAGGCAACTTTTAAACACAGTCTATTTTCAAGCACACTCGTGTTTCAGGCACAGTCAACCCAAAGACCAACAACAGTTGGTCTTTGGGTTCAAAATGAGTTACAGTAAAACTTTGCATTAGCTGCCCCTGGCCAAACTATGTTACGGTATAATGTAGGCTATTGCAAATCATGTTAATTTAAATTTTAGTGCGAACCAATACGTTTTCCAATGAATACTATGGAGAGAATACAATATATTTCCCGTACACCAATTGACACTACTGCTGTTTCATTTCATTTTAGTGGTTTCTAAATATTCTGATGTTATGAAACATGATATAAAAAAAAACTGCTATCAAAACCATGCACGCTATCTTTCAGTGGTCATACTTTTCTGTTTTAATCGAAACTAATCGCTACGTTCGCACAATAGAGGGTAAGCGAGCAAAGAGAGCGCACCATTTTGTTTTACAAATTGATAATTATAGAACATTAAACATTATTAACAAGTTAAATATTATTAATTTATTGCACAAGAATTAAGAATTTTTTACTGGCTCAACAGATTGCAAGTAGAATTGGATTCAAATTAAATAAAAAACAATATAAATTTTTAAAAATATAAAATATAAAAAAAAAATATTGCTTAGAAATTCGTATAGGCCAACACCTGTCAATTAATTAACCTGTTAATTAATTATTGTTAAGCAGATCTGTTAAATAAGGTATCGCACTATTTTTTTATACCTCAGGGTTCTACAATTGACATGTCGGTATTTATGTTTCTAAGATTCATATCATCTTCTTTATCATTAGGCTTAAACCAGTCACATTAAACTGATTTAGAACATTTGATGGCATTTTTTTTACTAAAATCTATACTTTTCTCAAGGGACTCTATTTTAGTAACTGACAACACTTCAACCTAGGTTGTGTAGTCATACATTAAGATAATTCGTAGAGCACGCTCAGTTTGGACCCGACTAAAAACATCCTTACTACCTAAGCCTCGTAATGAGACTAAATCTATGAACTTATTTTTATTATCGTCATTTCATTTTCGATTTATTCAAGAGGGCCCTTGAATATCAACTAAGCTGGGATAATATAAATAATGTTAAACACGGAATAAATTGATGTTATTCAATGACTGTTGGAACATTAAACTTTATTTTGCAAACAGTATTTCGGCCGCTCCTGCGTTCTTCAACAGTGTATGGACGACTTTAAGTAATCCAATGAATGATAGCAATGCATTTAATATATAATGTATATACTTCATTTAATTGTAAATATACAAAAGAACTTGAGCATGTTTACATGCGTTTGCTGTTTTTTACAAATACATTGCCTACTTTGCTTGGTCCATTTTGAATGAGCCGAGCAAAATATTTCAAATTGTATTAAAACATGTACTTTACGTTCAAAATGAATTGTTTAGTTTCAATGTTGTTGATATTGAAATAAAACAAAACAAAGGATAAATTAATTGGATTCGACTAAAGTATGGCAAGCAATTTTGGTTTATGTGGATGTGAATGTCAGTCCTTGGTAAAATACGTTATAGCCTACCATGTCACTAAACTTGATTTGTATTGTTATAAAATTTTAACCAGAACCAGTCATACATATATGCTAACAATCATGTTGGTAACTAAGAGGTTTAGACAATTAAAACAACAACGTCTTGTCGGAAATGGTCGGACGTCGTACGGAAGTTATAACCTCTTCGATTGCAAATGGGTCAGGGTACTAGTTTAAAGTAGCATTTACAAAGTGACAACTTATAATTCCTCTGGGACCGTAGACGTCATAGCTACAGCTTACATTATTAAGAATATGATGACACCGTACTTCTGAAGTTTCGATGGCGTATTACTTAAGTTTGAAACTGATCCTAAGATCATTTCTCAATGTTATTTTTTTATCACGTGACTTCACCTACGTTTTATATATTATTTATAGATTAGGTACGGTATTGTCATATCATGCAAGAACTAAGAAGTGAGCAATGGTAAGCATACTTTTTAAAAGTTTACGATATTTCTAGTCATAATCTCTTGAAAGTTACAAATTGTATTTTTAAGATTATAGCGCAATTTAAATATATTTTACGGAGTTTTAATGTTACTGATTTTGCAGCTATATAATACGAGCATACAATAACATTATTGGGTGAAGTAGAAGACAGCTGATACAAAACAAAACGTCAACATTGAGTATGCGAGTCAGCCTGAACACTTTATAATTAGGCCTACAGATTTTAGGGTAAAACACTGTCAACGTGTTTTCGTCACCTTAGCTTTCATAACGGCATATTTAGTCGTTAGATTGAGTTATCCTGTATTGGACCTGTGACTTATAACTCCATGGTGGGACAATCGACGTAGGCCTTGTGGAATTTGAATGATGACAATGACTTGAGATTAAGCTATTATACACCTCCTCCCAATGGACCCAGTTTGTGCGTGACAATTATGGGAGAGACATAAATTGATCCTACTTACGCCATACGATAAGATGAATTAATTATGAAGTTGCAATATTCGTACATTATTGCAAAAATAACGTCTTAATTCTCATGACGTGAACAATACCAGTATCGTGTGTTATAACGCATATACAAACATATAGTATATACATAAATTACTAAGTAAAAGAATATATAGATTTATTAATGATTGATTAAATGTAAAATTAATTAAGTACATTAGGTCCATGTCACCTAAATTAGACATGGCAAGGTCAACATCATTATCGATTAAGTCAAATGCATTAATAATAAATATAAATATGTATTAATAATTCCATAAATTACTAATTAAATGGATGCATAGATTAATACATTCATGATGTATTGACTAGAAATTAAGTATAATGTCAGATAATCTAGACCTATATATGGACAATAATTACTGCCTCTTTTGTCAAATAATAGATAAGCCTATGTGAAGTCCCCCTATCTTACTATATTATTATTATTATTATTATTATTATTATTATTATTATTATTATTATTATTATTATTATTATTATTATTATAATCTTTTTCATTTTGTTTCATGTGCTGATGCATAAGTTCGCCTCATATGTGTAATGCATACTTGTTAATTTCATTTGCAAACCAATGGAAAACTGTTTGACAAATATCTTGTGCCTGTGGACACTGGAAGAAGTAACACACGTATTACATAATTGAAACTATGAGTGTAAAAATGCTAAAAAATATATTTTTTGTGGTAAGCTTACTGAGTCCAGCAGCAGCTGTTGGCAGCAACGCAACGGACACTTTTGTGACATTTGGAAGCGGGGCGATAGTGGATTCCTCACAAGGAATTGACGCGTTGTCAGTTCCTCAGCAACCGTTTTTACGTACACGGCTTGGTGATCAACAATCACCAAATCAAAAAGTTTCTACACAGCACGTGCTAGCTGCTGTAGAAAACTTATCTCTCGATATTCGTACCCAGCTGTCAGAATGCAGTGGGGGCAGGATTAGACAACTAGAGCAGGCTGTCCTTGACCTATCAAGTGTATTAAAAGTTTTTGTAAACCAAGGACAGACTAAAGGTAATGATTCATTGAATACAATCGATAAATAGCCTTCCAGTTTGTCCGAATTTATTTTCCTCATCCATTTCTTACAAATACAGTTACTGGCACTATAAAAAAAGAAAGCAAATACTAACACTACTACTGCTACTGCTACTGCTACTACTACTACTACTACTACTACTACTACTACTGCTACTACTACTACTACTACTACTACTACTACTACTACTACTATCACCGCCTCCTTTAATGAGTGGTAAATTATAAACATTGTTTAAACTATAAATGTATCAATTAATAATATTACTTGTAAAGTATATATATATATATATAAGATGTGTATAAGAGACAGATATATGACTATATATATCAAATATATGTTTTATTTGAGCGATTGATCACTTTCTTCCAACATATAATAATAGCTGTTATATACAGCAGTTTGACCGGATAACAAGGTTTAAGAATATTGATCGCCACTATGCTGAACTTGTAATAATGCATAGCGAAGATGTGTTTCATTAAAAAACAATATCCAAAATATACAGGAGAATTCACCATGGGAACAGCTGAAAGAACAACGTAAATGGGTTTATGCGCTTCCTCAAAAGCTTAGTAAAAACCTTCACATTTTCCTCGGCTACTAAAGGAATCAAGGACAGGTTACTTGTGAATGGAACAGAACTAGGCTGTATCACCTGTATTGTTACTAGAATATATCTTTAATATAAAGAATGTTTACATCTGTCTTTTTCACCTATAAACTATCTTAATATTTGCAAACGTTAAACCTGCTGTATTTTAGAATTAGATAATACAGTGTTTTCCTTATTAGTATATTTCACGATATATATTATACGGTACAATGCAGTGTGTGTTTTTGCTAGCAATAAATTTTTTATTATCTATAATTCCGCAATTATGTCTAATTTACTGTTCTTCTGTCCCTAATATTAAAGAGATTTTGTCTTTCAGTATGAGATTCGATATTTAGTATCTTATCCAATCACAACATATTATGCCATTGATCAAATGCATTCATAGCATTATTATGCCAGTATTAATTGTGTTAATCAACCAAAACCAAACATCATTTTAGTTGATGACATAGTATCCGTGGATCGTAAACAACCATTGTTAATATCGTACTCATCCTAAGTTATTCAAACTAATATAAGACAACTACCATATTTCATGAAGATTGGTCATCATTCTTTTTATTTCAATAACAAACGTATAATTATTACGGGGTTTTTTTTTCAGTTATATTTAAACGTCCAAAAGACTGCACAGATCATCTTCTTAATGGAGTAACACAAAGTGACGTGTATATTATATACCCAGACGACTGTGGATCGCCATTCGAGGTTTATTGTGACATGACAACTGATGGCGGAGGATGGACAGTAAGAAAGCAATATAGCATACAATACAATAAGATTATAATATATATTATTCACTGCATACTGTATTTTATTTATCAATGTCATGACCAGCTGAATTTACACTTCGTATAATAAAGTATGTTGAATTTGAATTTGAAAAACATTTTTAAACTTTATTTAAACAGTTTTCTTTTCTGAGATTTTCTTCAGTACTAATTATAGCATATTACACTGATTCTTAATCTTTTGGAAAATACTGCTTCCGTTCTTAAGAGTGGAATAATTTGTCTTAATTGAAATTCGAATTCACCATGAAGCAAACAAAAAATATATAAATAAAAAACGCCTTCACCTCCCACCTCCTCCATCCTCCCTGCTGCAACCATCACCGGAACGCATTTCATCGAAATTTCACTAAGATTCTAACTTCAGAGTATTACTGTTCGTCTGTGTTGGCACGAGGAAATTATTATTGCTCGTTCGTAATTCGTACTCGGGCGCCCGCCCTCAATTGTCATCAACAAAATATCAATTATGCAAGAATGTTTATAATGATAAAGAATTTTATAATTCTAAAATTGTTCTTCAATAATAATAGGTTTTTCAAAGAAGACAAGATGGTATGGAAACATTTTACCGAGGGTTTGGAAGTTACCGTAGAGGCTTCGGGAAATTACTTGGAGAATTTTGGCTTGGGTTGGATAAGATCCGGCGACTCACTTTGCTTGATGAATATGAGCTTAGAGTCGATATGAAAGATTTTGACAGCAACACGGCATACGCAAAATATGGCAGGTTCCGTATTGGGGGGCTTGAGGAGGACTTTCGGCTACTTGTTGAAGAATACTCAGGGACCGCAGGTAAACAGTCCCTTTGTAGTAGATCTCCCTTTTTCTGCAAAAATAATAATATTGGCAATGATAATGAACATGATACGATAGTAATAATGATATTCACAATGGCAAAAATAATTGTAGGCCTAATTATAGATAATGATAATAATAATTATTTATTACTACATTATTTATTACTATCATAAATATTATTAGGAAGATTATGATTAGGAATGTAATGATGATGGCAACGATAATGATTATAATGATAAGGCCAAATAAAATAAATTGTTTGTTTGCTCTTCTTTTTAAAAAATGATAAATAGGGGTGGGTGCAAAAAGTTTATTTATTTATTTATTTTTTTTTAGATACTCATCAGATGGAATAAAAATAACCCACAGAGGTCTAGATTGCGATATCTTACATCAGACAACAACTTTAGATTAATTTGTAGGTCATCTGGCAAAATATAAATATGAATTCACTCACATTTTTTTTTAATTTATAAAGAAAAAGGCTAAAAAATAGCTTTTTTAAATTTTTTTTCCGCCCCTATTTTTTGTCAATGAGTTAGGGGCGGGTGGAGGAGGGCAAACAAAAAATTTTGTTGGCCTAATGGTGATGAGATGACAAAATTAAAGCCATATATGATTATAGGATAGCGCTGTATACAATTCATGATCCCCAAAAAAATCATAACTCATAATTTTATTTCCCTCAGAGATAGTAGCCAAACAAAGATAAATCACCCCTGCACAAGTGTTAGCTACCTTAATAAATCACTTAATAAACAATAAGTATCCATTCAGGAAGGATATCGTTGGGATTTTAATATTAAGAGATTTTGTCATCCCATGAATTACCTATAAAAACGCAATGAGAATGGAAATTTCGCGGACAATCGTTTCTTCTATGAGTGGCGCGTGAGGATTTTTCGAAAGATGAAGACATAAAGATGTCTAGATTGAGATAATCAATCAAGGTGGAAAGAGGAGAGCCTTTAAGGAAAATTAAGGATATACTGTTTGTGTTGAGTTAAACCGCAAATACCCTTAAATTGTCCCATAGGCCGAATTAATTTAACGGTATTCATTGTAAAATACCTGTATTTCAATTGAATTTTTAAAATCTTGTTCAATTATTTCAAAATGATCAATTCAATAATTTAAATGAATTTTTTGTTTGGTTATTCAGATTTCGTGACAGTGAACAGGCCTACTCTTAACTGGCCAAAACCGACACACGTCTTATATGCGTTGTATTGATTTTTAATGTCAACAATAATTGCCAAACGCATTCTGTATTAACGGGTAACGATCGAAATATATTCAGGAACCCATTTGGTACATTTACCGCGTAGCTTCGGGCCTATGCAATCTGTGAAAATTTATATACCTTACATTTCAAAAATGAATACAACGCGTTCAGAATCACCATATCAGGATTAATACTGTGGACAAAAAAATTGCGCAAATAAAGGATTTTGGAAAATCCAAAACAACGTGCTGATTATTATATATAGACCTATTTTAGAGTAGGTGTGAGTAAATCGATGAAATTTACTATTAGTTCCTAAATAAATCAAATAAGATAAGATAAGATAAATAAATTTATTTAAAAACAAGGTATAAATGGAATAAATAAATAAAGTATAGTTGTTGAGAATTAAATTAATATATGCATCTACTCTTTATTAAACCGTTACCACGTTCAATTGTTTTAAATCAAGGTTCAATGCCTTTCAGTTAGTCTATTCAATAGGTTTTAGTGTGGCATTTATCATCTTATACATCGTTATTTCAGTTTTATACCACAGTTTTAAATCTCGTTTTAAAGCACAATCTTGACAAGTTAAGATGTTCAATATTGCGGTTGAAGTCTGTATTCGTTGACTTTTTTTTCTATTATAATTGGCTCTTCCTACCGTATTGTGTAGATTAACTTTGAAATGCTGATATTGCCGGTGTTTTGTTATCTTGCTGTTCGATAATAATACACTGATGAAAAAATACAGAAATTCAAACTAATACTACCTACATAAATTAAGAACGTATCTCTTGAGATTATTGATTATTTACACTTCACTAGTAAAATATATATCTTATTAATTTTATTTGTGATTTATAATGCGATAATACCAGTAAACGTGTAAAATCTCAATCAAGTGCCGGGTGCAAAGGAATCTCATAAGACGGCCACGAACTGATTCTCATTAATAATGTAAATTAAACAGAAACAGCTAAACCACATTTAAAAAGAGTTCAGCAGCATCACTTAATTCATTTTTGCGTTTTCCTCTCACAAAAAGGTGACGCTATGATACTGCACAACCACCAACGCTTTAGCACCTTTGATCGTGATAACGACGCGTGGAATGGCGGCTGCTGTGCTGAGGAGTACAGTGGTGCGTGGTGGTATGAATCGTGCCATTTCGCCAACTTAAATGGTGTTTATTTGCACGCACCTGGAAGTGAATATGGAAGAGGTGTAGTTTGGAGGCAGTGGAGAGGCTACGAATACTCACTTAAATTTGTTGAAATGAAGATGAGGCGAAAGAACTAGGCAAAACTTCAGGGGCGCTTATCCTCTAAAATTTAATTAAACTAAATTAAAATACCGGTAATATCCCTTAATATCAATTCTTTTTCAGTTACAGTAAAAGCATTTAGTGCAAATCGGTTTAATATCTGATAGCATCAAAGCATTAACGTAATAGTATTACCTCGACTAGACTCCTAATAATGACTCATTTAACCACGTTTTAAATGTCTTACGGGGTCAGTCAGATGGGTGTACAAGAAATGTGCAATGATTAACTATGAATATTTTATGTGTTTGGCAAATACGATTGAAACAACAGGCGCAAACGCCCTTAGAACGGGAATCTATCTTTAACCTACTGGTGATTCACCACGATGGATATATATATCTAACATCTAACTCTGAACATTATAGTTACGTGCCTATTGTTTTTGGATTCTACCTTGTTAGCATTTTTAGATGTTTGTGTTTCTCAATTATACGACTAGCATTGAGGAAGGACACATATTTCTGAAACACAGTGTATTATCACGTCCTTTATTCGAACATAGTGTTTAACTTTGTTTGATGATTTATATATAATTTAACCTGTCTCTTATACACATCTAGATGTGTATAAGAGACGTGTGTGTGTGTGTGCTGAATAGCAACTTCCATTACATAGGCCTATCTATTCTATATATAATTGTATATTAAATATAAGAGCACCTATAATTATCTATACTATAATAACGCTTATTTCAAAACCTTAAAATCATAATAGAAAATAGCGGATTACCAGTCTTAAAAACTGTAACAACATAGTTCATTAAAGTTCCGATTGCAAGGAAGTGATATCAATCCATTTTAGATTAATTAATTGTGGGAGATATTATGTATTTTACGTTTTTCACTGGACCACGTGTAGTTTACTGGACCAATGGTGTTTACGCATTCCGTAGCCGTTTTTTGTGCTTTTTGTTTGTTTGTTTGTTTGTTTGTTTGGTTTTTTTTGCGGTTTTATATGGAACTCCAAAATAGTAACATTCAACGTACATTTTTGAGGTTTTGTATGGAACGCCAAATGGTCAACTTTCAAACACAGTCGATTTTCAAGCACACTCATGTTTCAGCCACAGTCGGTTAACCAACGTTCGTCAAGCACAGTCGGTTGTTTGGGTTCTCAATGAGTTACAGTAGTAAAACTTTGCTTTAGCTGCCCCTGACCAAAATATGTTATGGTATATTGTAGGCCTCCTACAATATACCATAACATAATCATGTTAATTTTAATTTTAGTGCCAAAAACTTTTTCCAAGTAAAATTATGAAGAGGACACAAGATATTTCCCCATACCAATTAACACTGCTGCTGTTTCATCTCATTTTAGTGGTTTCTGAATATTCTTATGTTATGAAAAATTATATGAAACTGCTATCAAACCTATGCAACCCAACTTTTTTTAGGGGTCATAATTTTCTTTTTAAAATCGAAACTAATGGTGACGTTCACATACTAGAGGGTAAGCCAGCGAAGCGAGCGCACCCTCTAGTAGTATAATAATTCTGTGTCCAGCATTAAATATTATATATAGGTCTATTATGAAACAGAAAACGAATTTGAAAACGTGACAAAATTTTACCTATTAGGAAATTTGAAACATCGACCATGTACTGGTCGACAGAAAGTACAGATCATTCATTAAAGAAATCCGAGTAAAGATAGCAGGCTACGTTGGAAGCATTCACGTGTTCAACTATTACAATAATGAAAATAGATGTTGTGATCAAAAGGGACGCTTAAAAAAAGTTGGAAATTTAAAATAATCAGACTTTTAAGCAAAGCTATAAATAATCAGACTTTTAAGCAAAGACATAATCGTAATTTTAACTTTTTTGCCTGAATTTTTTATATTGAATATTATTGAATAAAATCCATGAATGAATGAATGAAAAAAAAAGTTTCTTGTCCAAACTATAGACATATATCGACTCTGTTTTTTTTTTTTCTAGCTAATGAACTTTTACTAATTTACTCTTACATATTTGAATGTTTGCTTGAGATTTTGTTTGGCTTATTTTTCGTAGGTTTTTAGATTGAAAGCAATATATAAATAATAGGCAAGGCCATTTGAAAGAAAATTTTCCGTCACGGTTTCTAGTGTTTTCGTAAAAAAGTTTGTTATTATATATAATTTCCATGATGGTTGCTAAAATGTCATATTTATGCATATATATATATATCTGTCTCTTATACACATCTCATACCTTTCTTTATTTCTTTTTATTTTATAGAACTGCTCCTATCGCTATTCCAGCCGGGCGCACCCCCTGGATAGCCAGCCTCCTGCTAAACACTACTTACACCCCATCTATCAGATCCTGTTCATCCAACCGGGCCAGATATATAGATATATGCTTATTTCTTCCTGTCATTTTTATTCAATGAGTCTCATCCTAACTTTATAAACTGTGCAACTAATTCAAAGCCCCACCAGGATTTGGCCTCAAATCCAAGATGGCCGCCAAGACGGTCGCTAACATTATTGTAATTATATTCAAAATTACGTCTCATGTTTTTTCCTGTCTAAGTTATTTCAGTTATTTTATTATTCTGAAAGCAATAACTTTTAAATTAGCCCGAGGCCCAAAAATAATTTGAACTTTGAACCAACATGGCTGCCATTATGGCCATCAATACAATATGGCAGCCAAAACTATGTCAATTATATTCAATTTCCTCTTAGTAGTCTGCGAACGTTTTCTTGGTTGTTTCATCATTCTGAACCAAATCCCTTTAAAAATAATTTCAAATTATTTGCTTGAAGAACATCGACATTGAATTCAAAATTTGCTACAAAAATTCAAATTACCTCAAATTGAATAATAAGTTTCGATCTATAAATCAATAAGCCTCTTCGCTTCTCTCTGTCCCAAAATGGGGATTTTATCTCAAATAAACATAGGACTTGGCCCAAAATTAATACAAGAATAAAACAATTGAACCGTTTAAACTTATTGACAACTAATATCATGTTTCCGTCTATTGTAAGCAAATATATATATATGTATATATATATTTATATATATATATATATATATATTATATATAACTAATTTTAAGATCATAGTTTCATTTTCAGATTACATCAACATAGCAAACCTATAATCATTAGGATAAAAATGAAAATATTTTGGAATAAAACGTTTTATTCAATCGTTATAATAGGGAAAAATAAGAACAAAATGAAATTCGTCTATAATTTGGTTTAACAAACATAAATTACAAAGTCTTTTTTCTCTCTTAGTTTTCCTCCACCGCCCTTTTTCAATTTCAAGACCTATAATATATCAAGACGCAACTTAGTAAAGAGTTTACTTTTTGTAAAATCATCAACATGAAAAAGCTGAACATAAAATACTACTTTTGAATTCGACATAATAATTCATTCTTGATGAAGTCATATTTTCTAAATTAAATTTCTGATGTTCAATATCAGATAAATGTAAAGCAAGCTCAGTTTGTCTTCGTTACTCTGTGATAACCAAATATCATCACAACCAATATGACATAATAAATGTTTGGGGTGATGAACTCAGCTGATTTAATTTTTTTCAGTATTTTCCAAGTTGAAAATTATAACCATTCTAAAACTGGGGCTCACACAAAACCAGACATGAAGATAAGAGTAAGTCTACCGCTGAACACAAATATAAACTATCCATCTATGAGTCAGATTTTGGACTGCTCTAGTAAGAACTACTGTCAGAAGGCGTATGCTACTGGTCTCCAACAATGTCGATGCACATTTCTCGTCCTCCAAAGGGCTGTTCCAGTGCATTGGTCATGTTCCCAGTCTGTATATTTGTATCCTGCTTAAAATATGATGGAATTGAGCACCTAAATCAAACTGTTTATAAATAGAAGATTGTAATTTGGGTAGTTAGTCTAAAAAATCAAATCCAAACATTGTGTAGATCTAGGCCTATATATACCTGGTGTTAACCTTGTTCTGCCGCTAATCACCAAAACGCTGATGTCATATTTTCAACTGAAGATGCAAGTAGAGATCGACTGTTATACTACTTTTATCTTACTCAACCACCACACATACAGGTTGTATTGTAGTTATACATAAAGTAGAATTTGGAAGTGCCAAAAAGGTATACTCTCAAAATAATTTGTCCCCTTTAAGGAGCTAATTTAGAACCAAGGATATATTTATTTAATAATAATAATAATAATAATAGTAATAATAATAATAATAATAATAATAATAATAATAATAATAATAATAATAATAATAATAATTGTTGACTTATATAGCGCATATTGTAGGGACCTCTATGCACTTACATTATTACCCCCCGGATCACTGGATCAAGCACATATGGAACACACACTCAAGCCCCGTGGGGGAATTCCACAATGTTGCAGCTGTATTCAGCGCTGGCTGTGTTTTACCCACTTGTACTCCTGGGTGGAGAGAGACAACCGATAAATATATATCTTTGATGATTTATATATAATTTAACAGTGCTAACGGCTATCTTGATGTAATAGAGTGTATCTGACAGTGACAGTGAGAGGTCGCAGGTTCGAATCCCGTCAGAGACATTGCATTAAACAATTTATTTATTTATTTATTCGTTGAGAGCTATGCTACACGATGTACTATCATGTCCTTTATATTCCAACACTGCATTTAACTTTCTTCAATGATTTATATATAATTTAACAGTGTTGGCAGCTATCTTGATTTATACCGGTATTCATTTATTTGACGATTAAGATATTTAAAACAACACAATAAAACAATAGCACAATAATGGTCAAATGTTTTGAAAGCATTTAATTCAGTTCATAATTCAAACAACAGCGCCCTTTCATTGGTGTTACATCCAAGAAATATAAATATAATCATTATTAAATATTATATATATCCGGTTTTCCTCTTTGTTGCAGATAGTTAGTTACTTAGTATTTTTTATTGATAGCTACGCTAGTTAAGTGACTACCGTACTCATTTTCCAACGAGTTATTAGACTTGCAACATTACGGTTACCAAGCATCAAATCCCCGTTCGGACAACTTATTTTTCACTTTCTGTACCGTTTAAAAAAAAATATAAATTGTAATATTACTCCAAAGCGATTCTTTACCAAAGTTAAAGAACAACTTCCATGGATGTGCTTTTAGTTTTAAAAAAAACCAAAAAAAACAACATTGACCTTCTAATAATATCTTGATCATATACCACAAAGCGGGTTAAAAGCCTATTAGGAATTAGTTGCGCGATTATCGTTGCATTGTTTTTTTTATCTTTGTATTAAGTTTGATCGGTCTTATCATTAATGTTACTGTAATCATGAAATATTTGTGTTGGCTATAGGTTATGATTCTTAGAGATTGCTTGGTTAATTTTGTGGAGAAGTGAATGAACGAGACCGCTTAGAAAATTGAAAGAAATTCTGTTATCCTTTGGCCTATGGTAAGCCCCTCTTTGGGCAACATACAGAGGTGAACGACCCACCGTAAGTGCTGCTCTAGGCTTTTAAGTCATTGTTTCGATACGGTAGGTTTCAAAAATAGGTGCCCTGGTCAGTTACTAGCATAGGGTTTGAGCATGATAAATACGCTTAGTCAACAGACATGGTCAGTAGTAGAATTTTTGTTTTAAACTTCAGCCTTCAACGGCTTGTGATACATTGGTCTGCATAGTAAAAGTATTGTTTAAATTCAAAGTGTAAAAAGGTTGCGGGGGGGGGGGGTTGTGCATAAGGCGTGTAATTTTATATATCGATATAGAGACACATGTCTTTGTTTCATTACTGTACCTATTTTTTATTTATTCTTAGATCTTCTCATTTGTTTGTTTCTTATCAACAGAATTCAGACTAAATCTATTAAGTAAATAATTCATAACTATTATACAAATAAACCCTTTACCAAACTTAAAAATATATAATATAATATATAAATTGTGAAATTGTTTCCGATATCCTTAACTACAAATAAATTGCCTCATTTTCCCTCTATTTTACATTTAACTGGAATTTATGGAAGTGGAATATTATGTAAACATACTTCAGTTAATTGCTGTAAAGGACGGTTGATATCACTAGACTCAAAGGCGACGTATATTTCCGCACACCTTTAAGGTAAATGTTGTACGTCGATAACCATCTTAGGACATTTAAGTCGAGTGTGGAGATTATGTGTTCCTGCAAAGTAACTGAGTATACGTCATAACACTAACTTGATATTAAAATAATTACACTAAGATGTTGGAGCATGTCTTATGGCATATAACTTATTTACGTCATTTAAACATTTTTCTGAATAATGTATTTAAATATATGTAAAAGGGAAATCAGTTGTTTAATTTTTGACCACACTATGAAGTATTCTGTGACAATGTTATTCGCACATTTGGGCATCTGATGTAATATAACATCCATATATGAGCATAATCACAGGTATTTGCCGCATAAAAATTAACAGTATAGACAGAGCTTAAAATTTATCTTCGGTTAGATATAACGTATTCTCATGAATCACAATTGCAACAAAGTAGGAACACATAGTTCATTATTGTTAATAATCCAAAGTCGTAGAACATGTTTAGTTCTTCATTTCCCGTTATGATGGTCAAAATTATGGATTTGACGAAAAACGATGAGTCCTGTTGAGTTTCTTGCTAATGTAAATGCATCAAGGAATTCCATATTTTTACTCCCGTCGTTGTATAGTTTCATTGCTCTGGTGGATAAGGTAGATCGGAATATCAGGCACTCTTTTCGGTAGATGTTATCTGAAAACTAGAGAGAAAAATCATCCATATAAGCCTTTGTAAAGAACAGTAAATGTTGTATCAGTCTGTTTAATTTCGGTTATTTAGATCTCAGGGGTTTATTTGTAGCATAAACTCACGATATCACTTATCTATATTATAAAGCTAGAAAGTGTATATATTTATACATTCGTTCGTATACATAAGAGTGTTTCGTCATAGTACGCTATATTTGAAATCGGTGATAGACTATCTTACTCATGGAAGGTTTACCAAAAGTGAAAAGATTAGATGGCAATTAATAAAAATTCTAAAATACAAAATTATAAAAGAGTTTCGTCATACAATAGATTTGAAATCGGTGATAGAGATTGAAATGGGCTATTATCCATTAGAAAAGTCTTCCGTCAATTTAAAGCATATACCTACAGTCAAAATAAAAACAGCGAAACAATCACTTACATTATGAATTCCTTTAACACCCTGATAATTGCATTTTAATACACCATTCTTTTAGTTTTATGGTAGTTAATATATTGTCATGGGCTCCCGTGTTCTGTCGTTTCATGGTTTGGTGATTTCGATCATCGATCTCATTTCTTTTCTAAAAAAAAATAAAACAAATTTTAGAGCTAACTACACATCATCTTAAAGATTCGACATTTTGTTTACAAATATACGTAAGAGAAGATTCAAGTAGATTATAGTCTCATTTGGAAAAAAAAAATTATTATATTATATTATTATTATTATTATTATTATTATTATTATTATTATTATTATTATCCTTTTTATTATTATATTTTCCTTATCACCTCTGCATTAAAAAAATATATACACATTTAAAACCCTTCGAACTTTCAAAACAGTTGTTGAATATATCATATGTATTACTTTCAATAATAAAAAAAATATATATTATATGCGCTTTGTGACTGTTCACTCAATGCCAATTTTTGTATTATCTGAAACCAGACTTTTGAAATTGGCATTTAATATTATATATCTTGATTGATCTAGGTTTACTGAAAACCACTAAAGTATTTGGGTTGTTTATGATTTTCAAAGATGATACACGATATCTATGAAACATTATATGCAGGGTATATAGCCTGAAGCGACTAACTTAGTGAGATGCTGATGTTCGTGCCCAGATGTCACAAGAAAATGTAAGCAACAGATAGTAAAGCCAAATCACATTGTGCTGCTTTGATTGTGGCAGTCTCCAACACATTCTGAGTAAGCATAAGTAATTCACAAAATCAGAAATAAAAGTTGTTTTGCTTAAGGTAAAAAGGTAAAGGTCAAAACCGCAAGCTCTGTGCTGACAAGCTGGAGTGCCCGTCTCTCCTTCCAATTTGCGGCCACTTTGGGACTTGAAAAATTTGGGGTGGTCTTGTGGTTCAGTCTCCACATTAAGGTGTAGCTTTGTGCTAAAAGATTGTCGATTGTTATTTAGTTCTTTGAAAAGGTGGTCTCGAATTAGAGTGGTCTCGGAATTACAGGAGTTTCGAATTAGAGGGTGCACTGTATATTAATTACATTATTTGATTTGAGAACGACTGCAGTACGATTTTACGTTCTGCTATTACGATTAGTTCTTTTCATTTCTAAATCTGTTTTAATTCACGAGAACAATTAGGCCACATCTATATAAATACTGATATAATACTTATTAAGCATATCGGTTTGGTATCAGATAAACACTCTTATGTGTGTCATATCCTGGAGAAATAATATTCTCTCCATGTTCATATATAGATTGGTACATTTTTATACCTTTTGATTTACACATGCAAGCAGATGTTTGTCCTGAATTATAGTATGGCAAAGGAATCGGATTCACTGAAGCATTCTTTAGTTAAATTTAGTATTAACAATTGAAATCGATTCAACTTACTAATAGCAATACCTACATTTCCACTTATAATATTCTGTATATAAGCCTGATTAAATTTTCCCTTTTAATATTAAAGCGAACTATACTTGGTTTACTACGCCCAGTACTGTATATTCTTTAGGTGGCGCTCGGCATTTACTAAAAGTACGGTACTTAATAACAGCATAACAGCAAGGTTTTGATAATAGTTATACAAAACAAGTTTTAAGCATGGTAAATTAAACACATGATAGGGTTATTGAAATGCATTTAAAAAAAAAGCAGGTCCAGCTATAGAATCATATAGGTATGTAGTAATCAACAGTAATAAATGGACTACAATGCAGCATAACGTATGAAAAAAGTAAATTAAAAGTAAAATTGGTAACAAAGTCTATAGTCATAGCAAAACAAGGTAATGCCAGTATACAAAAAGGTAATACACACTTCAATACAAACACGACGAGTCTACAAATCAGATACGTAACAAGTAATAATATATAATAATGAAAAAAAATATATAATAAAAGTGAAAGCCAAGACAAAATTGGCATCATTAGTAAATACGCCTTCACCACTAATCCCATACCCTCCACCTTTTTCACATTTTCTTACCATTTTTTAATTTTTGTATTATTATATCATTATTATTTTATCTTACCCTTGTTTTTATTGAGGTGTTTATTTCCTCTTTTTCATATACTGGCAATATTTTTTTTTGCTATGACTATAGATTTTAATATCTCTTATCAAATTTTTACTATTTATTTACCTCTTATACGTTATTGGGCATTGTTATATCATGTAAATATTGTACTATGCTTATTATTTTTGATTATCATAACCTGTGTGATCTTTGACTTGACCTACGTTATATTTTCAACGAATAGGTCTACCAGTTAAGATATCATGTTTTTATTTTACTATGTTTACTACTTTTGATAATCTCACCAGATACAAATTATGATATTATTTTAGGTTATGCTGTATCATATTACTTACTGTTGATTTCACTTACGTTTATTAATTTTAATTTTAGACTATGCTTAGACTATGCTATATATTATATCTATGATTATAATTTATATTTAAGAATACTTCTTAATTTATGCTTCTGTTGTTTTTATATACACTTTTTAGAATTTCATAATCAGTTCAGTTTCAGACCTAATTACAGTGTTATCATGATGTCTGTTTATACACCAGCCCTACTCAATTTGCATACGAGAATGTCTGTAATTTTCACTTTACTCACCATCATAGTGTTAAGAAATGCTCGTTTTATTCATCAAGTTTACATCTTTTAGCCGTCCTAATTACTTAATTACAGTCTCTTTAAACACCACATTGTCTATTCCCAATCACTTAACTCCTTCCATTATATCAGACACTGTGTGTCCATTTGGTGTTTTTTTTTTCATGTACAATGATAAAGACCTAATGATATATCGGAGTATTATATCCATGTTCTCTTTATTTAATTTTACATTAATTTAATTCCATGTTTGCAATATAATCATGGTGAAGTTTTAGGAATTTGTAATTTTATCAGTTTTAAGCATTAGTGCAATAGTTTGGTTTAACAACCTTGATAAATAGTACAAGAATTAGTAAGACAGCTGCAGGAATAACAAAAAGAGCAAGAATGTAGATGATTTATTCACACACAATGCCATATAAAATGCAAGTATTTATGTCAGATAACATTCACCCTCGTTATAAGCCCTTTTCATTTAGCAAAAAATGATGGTCGTTTGATTTTTCTTAGGTGGAAGACAAACAGAATAAGAAGTGCTATGAGGCAAGTGCTATGAGGCAATCTAATGCAATTTTGAAAAGATAATAGAAACACTATACATTTTTAATTCATTTTATACACATACTTTTATGTATTATTGCTTGAAATTGCTGAGACCTCTATTTTAGCTAAAATTTCAACCTTAACCTTCATACTTAACATTTTATGATGTGATGTATGTGTTGTGTGTTTTAGTAGTGATTATATCAATACGTTTTTATTTTAATCTGTGAACAAAACGGAATTTCAAACCGTATATTTTACTGCGTTTGACAATAAAGATTGAATTGAATTGGATTTTTCTGTACTGAAACACACGTGGATTTTCTATATTATTATATAATGCCTACATTTTAGATCCTTAAGAAAATCGTAGAGTTATACCGTATTCATTTGTGGCACCAGAAACTTCACTCATGTACGTCATGGCTCAGTCGGTCACCAACCCATTAACTTCCATCAAGCAACGCAATGGAATGATCAGTGCACAAGATTAGGCGCGATCAAAATTGATTTCGCGTTATGTCTGTCACAATCAACGTTGGGAATCGATGGCAACATTCCCCATAATGGGTTAAGTGCACTTGTAACAAACATTACATGCTGGCGATGATTCGTTTTGACATACGCACTCTGCGTTATGATTGACGCTCTTTTATGGTTTGATGCTTACACAATGGTGCGCGCTCTGAGATCGTGGCTCTCGTTTCTCTTCCTTTTTTGTTTGCATTATTTCTTTTTTTTAATCGTTTTATATAGATTATTTAAAATAAAACAGATAACTGTCTAAATTTGTTGGGAATAGCTATTATGAATTTGAAACAATAGAATTCCTTACAACATTTAGGCCTATATACAACACAAAGAGGTGGTATAATCGCCTCCCTCTGCGATCCCCCAAGGCTGAGTTCCTGGACTAAGTATTAAACATATTAAACATTCAGAACATCATGTACACGTCCTGATTTGCTAAATATTTATCGGATGTATTGAGTAATTCTACTTGAAGAAATTGAAATTGAATATTTGAGTTAATTTATACAGTAAGTTATTGGCCTATTTGGGCTTTGTCACTACTTATCAAACACATCGAGCATTCAGTGCATCATCACGTCAGGATTTCCTAAATATTTATCGGCTGTGTTAAGTTAATCAACTTCAAGAATTTAATTTGAATATTTGATTTACTTACTTTATAAAGTAAAATATTGGCTTATAATTTAAAATTGGCGTACACTACTATCCCTTTGTAGAGACCCCCACACCTGGTCATCAATAGAAAAAATTGAATTGTCTTAAGAGGGAATTTAATGCATTTTATATAGGTAAATAGTGACAATTAAGTAATGTTTAACCAAAACATGTAAGTAAATAATAGGTGAATATCAATAAAGATCTTTGAAATGAATAATGCATGAATAAATTAACAGCATTAGCAGCAGTAGGCCTAGTGCCTTCTACCGTAACATGCATTAACCGTCTACTAAACTGCCACACACACTCTCCTGACATTTAGTCACCCATGTCATTACTAATACACCTTTTCTATCAATCAGTCTATCTTTAGTCTTAATGTCGAGCGTGTATAGAATGGACTACTTCTGGAAATTTCGTTTTAGCTTGAGAAGAAATTTTAATGCTAATGACGTAAAAGCTAGGCCTAATCAGTGTACAGTAAGTGAACCAATAACAGTATTTTACGAAGCTTCTTGCATTTTAGGCTCCATCTACAATCATTGTTACAAAGCAATTAATGGAAATTGAGTTTAAATTATCTAAATGACGGTCTTTTTTATAGGCTTAGCTATTTAGCAATTTGTTTCTCTATCTCTTCTACTACCAGGTTTCGCAATATGACAAGGTCCTAGGTATTCGAGTATTTGAAATGGACTGACTTGGAAAATAGATGTACATGTTGAATTAATTA